AGGTAATCAGAAAGATCTACCAACAACCATATAACCAGCATAACACAATCCAATAACTAGGAACAATAATCTAATGGATCAGTATTGGTGCCTTCGACCCACAAGTACAATGAGGAAAACTCACAACACAGTCTAAAATGTTAGTTAAACAAATCACCACTCCGGATATAGACTCTATTGATCACCTATACAATAATAGGGACTCAAGCTTCAATATATTACTCAAAGTACCCAATATGACCTAAAGTCAAACTTGGTCAAATTCAACGGTCAATGGGCAAAGTCAACTCCAGCTGGTCACCACGTCGTGGCCACTAAATGACAAAATAAATGAGTCTTAGCCCATCAACCACGCCGTGTGCACTGTGCTCCTAACAACTTAATAGATTAAGTCATTTTGTTTGATCGTAAGGGATCCAAAGCTCAGATATGGTCCATTCTATGGTCCAAGTAGATAAAACTTCCAACTTTATCTCTTTAGACCCTCCAGTAGATAGAGATCTTACTCCTAGGTCTAAATAGGGCAAAACATGACTTAGCTTAACTCATTAAGCACTTTCTATTGAAGACTACTAGATCCCCATTTCCAGAAATGTTTTTAACATCAAATGACAACATAAAAAACCCTACTTTCCAGACATGCATGTTGCATGTCTTGGACCTTTATTAGGTCAAAACAAGGGTTTTTTTACCCAAGAATCCATGCATGGAAACAAAACTCACTAATAATTTAGATCCACTGCACCAAATACCCTAAAGGGCATGGAATTGCAAACTTTATGAGATCTCACCACCTAACAATCAAGAACATGAAGATTTAGGGACAAAGAGTCTAGAAAAGTGCTCAAGGTAAATGGGAAGAGTTGTTTGCTGGAACTTAGCTCCCTTCTTATTCCTCTTCTTCTTTCAATGGCTTCAAGGAACACCCAAAACAAGGTTAAACAAAGGAGTCGAAGATTAGGGCTTCACAAATCTCAGAGAGACTGAGGGAGGCTGAGGGTGAGTAAACCCTAGCCTACTTATTCCTTTAAATATGGAGAAAAACCCAAAAAAAGGTTTTGATCATTTTACAGCTGCCATGCCGTGGCCACATAATGTCATGCATTGGTAGCCCAAAATAAACCTGTAATATTTTTCGAAGAGCCACATCGTGGTGCCTTCCTCCGCGCCATAGCAACCTTAAAATGCTTTAAAAAAATTGCAAATTTGAATTACCTCAGGATCTAGGTGTTATATTATAATTGTTCAATAGTAGAACAAAATAAGACAATTCTAGAACAATCCAAGGGTGGAGAGTTTTGGAGGCTCTTTTACGATTTATGGAAGCCTCCTGGATACATATAAGGAAATGATTTAGATTGAGATTAAATCTATTATTTAATTAATTCAAATCTTGCTTTGCCTACAAGTTACCTAAACTATAAATAGGACCCTAAAACCAAAAAATTCGTTCATACCTTTATCATAAGGCTTAGGAACAAAATTTCCTTCTCTTCCCTCTCTCTCCTCATCATTCTAAGGTTTTGTGGGGTTTGGATACAAACCATTAAAGGCACTAAACTTTTGGTGCCTGATTTCCAAGGTTTTCAAGAGGGAATTTTGTTTCGTTATTTACTATAATAATCAAAAGGTATGGAAACCCTAAATCTATGTTTATTTCAATTATTATATAGTTCCTTTAGGTTTCTTGATGTTTATATTTTATTGCTATTAATAGAGAAAACATAGATCCCATTAGGTTGCATGTGAACTTATGAGTTAAGTTATTTTCTGCCTCATGAAAAGATTTATAACCCTTAAAACTTATTTTCCGCCTCATGAAAAGATTTATAACCCTTAAAACGTACCGGATCAATCATAACACAATTAATTCTTCAAACTTCCAACCTCTTTCTCCTTCTTTTTTTTGTTCGAAAATCACCACCACCAAGGTGGTGGCCGCCATTATGACGATCGATTTTTTTCCCTTATTAATGGAAAATCAAATAAAAAAACATGATGTGATTAATAGAAAACTAATAATGGGAAGTGGTAGTGCCTCTCGAGACGGCTTCGTGGATATAAAGAGCATCAAAATTGGAGTTTGTATGAAGAAGTTACGACTGTTTTAAAAGTACGTTGCTATTTCCGCAAAAGGAAAATGGCGGCGCCACCATGGCGTGGTGTCATTGTAGCCATAATTTTAGGAGATTACGATGCCACCACGACGTGGTAAGGATATAGCCACAATGTGGAGAGATGACAGATGGATGGGACACGTGACATGCTTGTTTGACATGTGGAATCACCAAAGCGACACTTGGCATTCACCATGACATGGGGAATTAAATGCCATGATGTGGCACCAAGTAAACATCCCTATAAATAATAGACTTCCATTTTTCGTGTGCATGTTTGACAGAGGTGTCGGTCGATCGAGAAGTGAAGTGTAGAGTACGTGATCACGTGTAATGAGGAGTCGTAAGTACGTGAGGTATAATCGATTGCTCTATTATTTATGATATCGTAATTGTAGAACGAGGGTCGGGACCCAAGTTAGATTGTCGGGTCATGATACGGTGCTTTTGTATACCCAACGTCATAATTAGATTATTAATTTGAATAATGTGAATGGTAAGACCAGGTTTCGGTTTAAATGGGTGAGTGTTATCGGACTAATGATTTATGGGGTTGAACCATTTGGCAGTTAAATGACGAGACTCGATGAGTCAGGTAACAATAATTACTTGACTTAGTTAATAGCTGAATAAAGAAATATCATAGTAAGGTCATACATGTTCTAAGAACCTTTTATATTACCTAAATAGGTTCGTACAAGCGTTAAGATAGAAAGTGGTGAAGGACATGAGTTCAGGCTAGCAGTTAGACACCACCGGCTAATCATGTAAGTACATGTAGATTTTTGGTTCATAGCGTTGGAAAAGTAAAATACTTTATTATGTGTTTTATGTGAACAAGTGTTGACGTATCTCACTAAGAATACATTAAAGGATAACATAAACGTCAACCAGAATGCAACCTGATCAAGGAGTGCT